CGCTTCGGCTTCACGTACTCCTCGCCTCAGGCCACTCCTCTGCCTACTCGCCACTCACTCTCAGCTCTGCCTTCGGATGAGTCCATAGAGTCGAGTGGCCCGTGTCCAGAGCTTGTTGGCTGCCTCATGTACCTGATGACCTGCACACGACCTGACCTTGCATACCCTCTTAGAATTCTCGCACGCTATGTTGCTCCTGGGAGACACCGACCAGAGCACATGGCTGCAGCGAAGAGGGTGTTGCGCTACTTGTGCAGTACGTAGGGCATGGGGCTAGTGCTTGGAGGGCGGAGTCCAGTGGTCCTCACTGGGCATGCAGACGCTTCTTGGGCTGACGACCAGGCTACGCAGCGGTCGTCACCGGGTTACACCTTCAGCCTTGGTTCCGGCTCTGTTTCGTGGCGGGCTACTCGCTCGTCTTCTGTTCTCGGCTCCAGTTGTGAGGCCGAGATCTACGCAGGGGCCATGGCTGCACAGGAGCTTCGCTGGCTCACCTACCTGCTGACTGACCTCGGAGAGCCGCCTCGTTCTCCTCCAGTACTGTACGTAGACAACAAGGCCGTGCTGGCCTTGTGTCGAGAGTAGAGACTGGAGCAGAGAACAAAACACATTGCTCTCCGCTACTTCCTTGCTCGTGAGCTACAGCAGCGTGGTCAGTTGCGGCTTGTATACGTGGCCTGTGAGGCCAACACTGCTAATGTCTTCACCTAGGCACTTGCGCCTTGTGATCATCAACGCTTCTGCACTCAGCTGGCTCTTGTGCCTGTCTTGCCTCACTTGCTCACCTCTTGACCTTGCTTGTACTGTTACATATATATATATACCTGCTCTTGCTTGTCTAGCTTTATATATATGTGTACTCTTGCATGTGAACTGGCCTTGTGGCCTTGACCTTGTGCTCGGAATGTGTGGTGACTTTGAGATCCACCCTGAGCTTGCTTTGCATTGCTTTGCCTGATTGGTCTTGTGACCCCTTGTTCTCCCCCACTTTGCATATGGGGTTGTGTCGGAACAACATATAGCTTATACATTTGTGTAGGCTGTAGTGGGGTATCCCATAAGGGGTACAACCCAATTAGGGTTAGTACTTGTACCCACTTCTTTCATAGTTCATTCATTCTCGTTTCAGTTTTCTTAGTAGCGTGCAACTACAGCGTCGTACAAGGTCTGAGCACTCTTGTACTGGCTAAAGTGCGCACGCTCAGAGGTAGGCAGGTGGCGACGCACAGCAAGACGTGCAGCAGCATCGCGCGTGGCTCACTGTGAGCGAACAGTGGCGTCAGCATCAGCAGCAGGGGCAGGAGAGGCGCCATAAGTAAGGTCAAAGAGGGAGAGAACGTTTGCCCTATCGCACTGTAGGAAAAGCTGCAGGTCATCTATCCAGACGTCAAAGTCAATGGCCCGACCCTCAGCGTCAAAAGCGAGGACACTAGGGGTAGCCATGACAGCAGTAGACTAGCAGCGCGAACAGTAGAGTGAGGGCAGTGCAGTGAGAGAGGCGCAGCTCTTACTGGACAGGGCGGCTCGGGAGGCTCGGCTGCAGGGCAACTCGGCGGCTCGGCTGCAGGGCGACTCGGCGGCTCGGCAGCTGGGCGGCTCGGCTACTGGGCGGCTCGGCGGCTCGGCTGCTGGGCGGCTGGGCGGCTCGGCGGCTGGGCGGCTCTGCTGCTGGGCGGCTCGGCGGTCGGGCGGCTCGGCTGATCTGCTGGGTGGCTCGGCGACTCGGCTGCGCGGCGGCCCGGCTGCTGGGCGGCTCGGCGGCGGCAGCTCCTGACTCAGGGACGGCGGCGGGGCCGTGAGGAGGCCGCAGAAAGCGGCTCGAGAGGCCAGGAGGAGCGACGGCGAGGCCAGGTAGAGCGGCGGCGGGGTCGCGCGAGGGCGGCGCCGTGGCCGCAGTGGTAGGCGTCGGGGCCGCAAGGGCGGCGCAAGGGTGGGCCGACGGGCGGCTCGAAGGGCCGCTGGAAGAGGCGGCGACGAGCCGCTGGAAGAGGCGGCGATGAGGCCGCTGGAAGAGGCGGCGACGAGGCCGCTGGAAGAGGCGGCGACGAGGCCGCTGGAAGAGGCGGTGACGGGCTGCTGGAAGAGGCGGCGACGAGGCCGCTGGAAGAGGCGGCGACGGGCCGCTGGAAGAGGCGGCGACGAGGTCGCTGGAAGAGGCCACGACGGGCCGAGGGGTGGGAGGCGGCAAAGCCGCTGAAAGGGCGGCGACGAGGCCGCAGGTGGAGGGCGGCGACGGGCCGCTGAGGGCAGTACGACGGGGCCGCGTAAGAGGCGGCGCGAAAGGGCCGCGAAGGGGCGGCGCGATGCGGCCGTAAGGGCGGCGCTAGGAGGCCGTGAGAGGGCCGCTAAGGGCGACGCGATGGAAGGGAGAGAACACAGGGCGCGACTCGGGCCTGAGCGGAGCGCGCTCCGGGCAGGAAATAAATTCGTAGTGGTGGGCCCTAGGAATCGTTCCCGCTAGGGAACCTGCTCGATACCATGAGAAGAAACGAGAATGAATCAACTATGAAAGAGTTGGGTACAAGTACTAACCCTAATTGGGTTGTACCCCTTATGGGCTACCCCACTACAGCCTACACAAATGCATAAGCTATAATGTTCTGACAAGCCGATCTCATTGTAGACGAGAAGTTCGCGACGGATTGGTCGAAAAAATGGGCTTCTGCAGTTCGACAGAAGTTGCGGTCGAGCAGGCTGTGCTCGACAGAGAGGCGAGCTGCGCACGGGCAGCGTGAGAGAGAGAGGCGCGCGAGGGCGCACTAGCAGAGATGCGCACGAGGGCGCGAAAGTGGTAGGGCGCTCGAGGGCGCTTCTAGCAGAACGGTGGGCCCTTAGGACTAAGCGGTCCTAGGTTCCTAACCTAGGCTCGTAATACCATGTCAGAATGAACAAGATTGTTTGCACTAGGAACGAGGTGGGTACAAGTAGGAAACCCTAAACTTACTGTACCCCATAATAACTACCCCACTACAGCCTAAACCAACTATAGCAGATATAACATTTGACACGCGTCCAGTCAGAATGAGCCGTCACGCCTGTGAAGTGACGTGCCAAAGCTCTGTGCACAGTCAGAAAATGCCCTCGCACGATTCTGATTCAGGAACCTGGAAGATTTCGATTCGTTAGCATTTACGAGACTGAAATAGATTTTGGTGTGGTTAAATTGTATTTCTTTTTATATAGCACCGGCGCTTATGGCCGTTACTCAGTTACAAGACCCCCCTTTAAAAAATGAGTGTATTATAAGCGCATATGCGCTACTATCTGGGGCCAGACTATACATGATATGTGTTTCGTCTCAGAATCCCAACCACTAGACCATTGGGATAAAAGGGCTTGTTTAAGTAGCGGGTCAGTGCGCCCATAAACCCCCAGGCAATCGTGCCTGTAACCCTTCCCTAGGATCAATTGGGGATCACCAATGGACCTCTGACACCCCCCCTCACTGGGATGCCGGAAGTGCACACACCGAGATCCGATCCTGAGACCTTTGCTCAGGATACCATCTCACAATCCCAACCACTAGACCATTGGGATAAAAGGGCTTGTTTAAGTAGCGGGTCAGTGTGCCCATAACCCCCCATGCAACCGTGCCTGAAACCCTTCCCTAGGATGAATCCGGGATCACCAGTGGACCTCTGACATTTCGGCCAGGCAAGATACTAAAACCTAGTGTAACCATATGAAGCAGCCTGTGAACGCAAGAATCACATCGAACTGAGGACACTCATGAGACTGGCTTAAATGTGAACCGTGACTAAACAACGACGCATGTTGCCAAACTTATATGCTATAGTCTGTGGGAGAAAGGCCCCGGCCGTCGCTTGGGCGCAGCCGATCTCATTGTCGACGAGAAGTTCGCGACGGATTGGTCGACAAAATGGGCTTCTGCAGTTCGACAGAAGTTGCGGTCGAGCAGGCTGTGCTCGACAGAATCCGGTCAACGAGCTCTGCGTCTGGTCGACGATCTCTGCGCGAAGAGCTCCCGTCAAAGAGCGCTGGTCGACGATCCTGGTCGAAGGAATCTGGTCGAAGAGTTCGCGTCGATGAGCGCTGCTCGGCGAACGCTGTTCAACCGAGCGATGTCCAAAAGATCGACCAAACTTGCAGAGGTGTGCGAAACTCTGAGGAGGTGTGCGAAACTTCGCCGAGAAGGTATTGGCGAAGTTTGACTTGCGGAATGGCAGCACGTGGTCGACGGTGCGCACCTGGCGAAACAGACAACACGTATTCTACCTGGCACCTACGCAATGTGCCTGACGGTGAAACCAAATATCACAGAAAATATTCCTCACGTTGCGTCTCAAGAAGAACGTTCCTCACATTGCATCACCCATCATTCATTCCCCTCTCCCCTGCCCCACTCAAGCCACGAGTCACCTTTTTCTAACCCTTCAGCTCCCCTCCCTGCCTCACCCAAAGTACCTTGTAGCTTGCCTTACTCTTTCCACTCTCTTCCCTACCTCACTCAAAGGACTGTTTACCTTGCCTAACCCCTCCCTGACTTGTCCCACATGGCCGCACTCCTTTCCCTGCCCCACCAAACACTCCAATAAATCTCATGGTCTTCTGAACTACGAGGCTAAGTAGGATGGAATCGATACAGGAGAGAACTGCCTGATGAAAATGCCTGGTCTACAAAGGTACGGGGGCAACTCAGGCAGCAGTACGGGGTAAGAATATAGTTGAAGTAGGTAACTGATCCTATCACAACTTGTTAAAGCAGGATCCTATCACAACTTGTTAAAGCAGGTGAAATAAAGGCGGAATAATTCCAACTTGGATTATTATGCTATGATCCAAGCGATTTGATTCTCAAGCAGCCGAGCTCCATAATGCCCATATAGTCCAATTATTTTCAGTCGTGAAAGAACTACCACCCTTCCCCCTTTCTAAGCACACATTGTTCCCATACAAGTCAACCACCCAACCCCAAACAGCACCCCGAGCACATGCAAACAGCAACAATACCTTCCTTGGTTATCAACCACTGCCCTGCTCTACTTGCGTCCGAGATTTCCAAAGAAGTTTGTGGCCTTCTCGAACCCTTGCTTCACGTCGTCCGCTGCCTTCCTGGCACCTTCCCCAACCTTCTCAAACCCCTGCTTCACCTCATTCGCTGCCTTCTTGGTATCCTCCCACCCTTTCTCCAGCTTTTCCGCTTGCTTCTTTTTGTCTTTCACCATCCTATCCCATTCCTTCTTAGAATACTTCGCAAGCTCCTTTCCAACCCCAGCGATGGCTTTCATTTCACTCGGCCCGATCTTCACCTTGACCGCCTTCCCCTTGAGCATCCGTCGGATCTCCTGCATCAGTGGTAAGATGGACGCATCTTTGACTTACGAAGTTACTGCACACCCTGTACATCGCTCACAGGGTCGGTGTGACATTTGTTACACGTCCTTAGCACTTCAGGAGGCGCGAAAGTGACCGATATTTGGTTACCAGCGCGAAGCAAGCTGGTGCCAGACATGAGGCGCGGCGAGAAACGCGGTGGGCGGAAAGTCTCGTAATTATTGCAGGAGTGGTACAAATGTAGGCCCGTGAGTTGCGGAGACGTCAATAATGATAACAAATGTCTAGCGCTTACACTCCAGCTATCTCCTCAATAGGATTAGTCAAAGAAGAGTGTGCTAAATTGCAACGTCAAATAGCTGACAAGAAATTGAAGTCTGTACCGTAATCAATAAGGGTTCCCAAGTGTGCGCTTATCATTGAATTCCGGCCATAAGCGCAGTTCTTGAGATAGAATGGCATGCGCCTAACATAGGCCAGCGCTTATATCCGGGGCAGGGCCATACGGTACAGCAAACCTATTCATGATTCATTAGTAAATATAGTCACTTATAGTAAGCACACACACACACACACGCCGCCTGAACAAGCAGCCCCAGGGTTTGTACTGTCATGACTCGCTATGTGCATGGAGAAATAAGTGGGTTAGTGTCAAATCAAACAGTCAGAAAATATGACCTTGGAGCGTGCCACCACCTACATCAAGAGAGGCAGATGAGCAACATCCACCATCCCCACACCTCCTGTTGCTGGCCTCTCTCGCCTATACCATCAACCAATCGCACCTGTTTAAGTTTAACCCTTTCTGCAGCCCTTCCACCAGCAACATTACTTCCCCTTCGAGCAGCCAAGGACACTACCACCGCCTCCCTCTCCTCCGCTGCACATGCGTGGCTTGAAGCCTTCTTTCACTGCCTGCTCAGCCATCCTGTGCTTCCAGCCTCGCCGTAACAAGGTTAGCCAGTCTGCATGTGCACGGCCTGCAGTAGCCATACCATCAATCACACATCTGCTTGTGAATGCTACTCTGGCACCGCTGTGTGCACGCCACGCTGCGCCTCGCCACGCACTCCATGCCAAACATGCCGTCATCTTGGGATCATCGGATGCGGGGCAGCAGCAGGAAGCCATCGAAGCCAGGGTGCCGGCCTGCTGTGCTGCGCACCGACCGCCTTCCTCCACCCACCCCTCCCTCCACCACCCCGCGAGTTGACTTTTGAGTCGACTCAAAAGCCGACCGCCTTCCTCCACCCGCCCCTCCCTCCACCACCCCGCGAGTTGACTTTTGAGTCGACTCAAAAGCCGACCGCCTTCCTCCACCCGCCCCTCCCTCCACCACCCCGCGAGTTGACTTTTGAGTCGACTCAAAAGCCGACCGCCTTCCTCCACCCGCCCCTCCCTCCACCACCCCGCCTCCCCTGCTCCCACCTTCTGCACCACCTGCTGCACCCTCTCGCCCCAAACTCTCACTCTCACTCGCTCTGCCATGCTGCCACGCACTGCCAACTGTCACACCCTCTGCTGCCGCTGCTGTTGCGCTTTCATGTGGCCGAGGGCTCATCTTCCCCTGGCCTGCTGTGCGTGTGGCTGGCATGGCACTCTCAATCGCCCGCACCCTGTCTCCACTATCTTGGCTATCTCCCCTGCCTTTCCTCCTCTGACCCTCACCACCCTTCCCTTCTAGGCAGCAAGCCTTTTCTGCTGAGCTAGCAACCTTGGCTGCTGAGCTGGCAACCTTGGCGGTCGAGCTGGCAGTCATACCAGTAGAGGGGACAGTGGTACCAACAGAGCAGGCAGCAGTGCCAGCTGCTGTGCCAGCAGCAGCTGCTGCAGCAGTGGAGCCAACAGCGCAGTGAGCAGGTGCGTTGGGAGGAGCAGGAGGGTGTGTGGCAGCAAGAGCTGAAGGTGGCTCGGCCGTGCTGACAGCACCTGCCTTGGGTCGGTCGCTGCGCCGCTTCTTGAGGACCGGGAAGGAGAGAGCGGGCTGCTTGAGGGGCAATGTTGAGAGTTTGGAGATGCGGTCTGCAGTGGTACCGGCGGTGGCACTTGTGGTGCCACCTGTGGTGGCAGCTGCGGTGGTAGCTGTGGCGGCACCTGTGGTGGCAGCAGTGGTGGCAGCTGTGGTGGCAGCAGTGGTGGCAGCTGTGGTGGCAGCTGTGGTGGCAGCTGTGGTGGCAGTTGTGGTGGCAACTGTGGTGGCAGCTGTGGTGGTAGCTGTGGTGGCAGCTGTGGCGGCAGCTGTGGTGGCAGCTGTGGTAATAGCTGTGGTGGTAGCTTTGGTGGCAGGGCAGGATACCTGTGATGTGTCTCCACGGCTCGCGAGTGTATCATCTTGAGGCGCTCTTGCTGTTGCTCGTATGCTTGCTGTGGTTGTTCGTGTGGATCCTGTTGCGGTTACTCCATTGCTTCCTGCTGTGCTTGCTGCTGCTGCAGCGACGGCGGCTAACTCAGCTGATAGCAGCACAGCAGCTTGTTCTTCTGCTGCTGCCTTGCTGCGCTGCACCCCACCAGCACTTCCCGCACTGCCAGCACACCCATCCCCATCGCCATCGCCATCGCTGCTGTCTCCCGCCCTCACCTCACCGCCTCCCCCACCACTCCCCTCCCCTCCCTCTCTCCTCCTCTTCCTCACGGACCTGCTCCTCTTCCCACTCACTCTCACGCCTGCCCCTGCCTCACCCCCTGGGGCAGGCGGGCAGGCAGCTGCCGATGCCAGCGGTGCAGGCAGAGGAGCAGCAGCAGGGGAGGTGGCCGGGGGGGCAGGGAGTGAAGGGGAGAGAGGGCGAGAGGCCATGTGGGATGGATCGGTGGGTTGAGGAAGGGAGGAGCAGGCAGGCAGAAGCGGTGAGGCGATGCAGGAGGCGGGGGCAGGCTCGTATGTTACAGTCGGGCCACGGGGGCAGGTTGTAGCACAAGCAGGCACGGCCATGCAGCTGCCTCCTTGCAGGGCCACTGCGTGCAGGGCGCGAGGGCTCCTCTTGCCCTTGGTGGCTGCGGCCGTGGCACCAGCGCCAGCTGAGGCAACTGTGGTAGTGGTAGCAGCAGCGATAGCGGTGGCAGCGGAGGCAGTACCACTGGTCGCCACACTGCACGCAGCCCTGGGAGCAACACTCACACTCGCTTCTGCTGCACCCCCAACAGCCACTGCTCCTGCTCTCCTCTTACCCACACGCACTGCCTTGCCTTCCCCGCCTGCTGCCAGCTTCCGCTTGGCACTGCGAGAGCCTTTCAGCCCGGACGCCTTCAGTTCCGAGGCAGCACCTGCGGTGCCGATTCCCCCACGTGCTGTCGCAGCTGCTTTGCCTGACGGCGCTGCAGTTTTTGCTACAGCCAGAGGCGTCGCTGTGCGTGCGGGAGAGGGTGCGGTGAGCAGCGATGCAGTGGGTGGTGCGGTGGGAGGAGGCGATTGAGTGGCAGGAGGAGTAGTTGCAGCGGTATCAGCCTTGAGGCGCGATGCCAGGCGGGCCACAGCGCGGCGCAGGCTCTGATAGTGGCGCGGGGTGGCAGGGAGAGGAGGGACAGGGAAGGGAGGTAAGGTGAATGCAGCAAGAGGTGAATAGTCAGCTCAGCAGCACTTGATCAGCATTCTCCATGACGACAGCAGCAGGTTCGCTGCTCACCTTGATCTCTGGGCGCAGGTCCACAGGCAGGGCAGAGGCGTGGCTGATGAGCGCGCGCAGATGTGACAGACGCTGAGCGGCCTGGCGCTCTGACAGCTGTGACTGAGATGAGAGTGCCTTGCTGAAGCAAGACAGCCACTCAGAAGCTGCCTCGTGTCGCTGTTTGGCTTCCCCGAGAACGGCATCAGTTGTGCCTACTGTGTGCGAGCCCTGGAGGACAGACAGGGGAGGGGAGGGGTGAAGGAGGAGGATTGAGAGATGGAAGGTGGGACAGAAAAAGACTCTTGGCATGCACAGAGAGAGTATAATGGAGCGAAGAGAGTAACGGAAAGACAAGAGAAGTGGGGTTGGAGACACTAAGATCTGCTCGTTACACAGTGTCGCCGTAAGTGCAATTCTGTTTGTATAAGCCACTATCTCACCGTCTGCACCAGCTGTGCCAGGGTGGAAGGTCGGGGCCGTGGGCGGCCAATGAGAGCGCTACACGTGGCAGCCCTCCAGCAGTGGGCGGCCACTGCCCTCTGCATCACCGCCAGCGTGCCGCCCGCCTCAACAGAGCAGCCTGTCCGTGCCTCCGACACCGCCGCTGCCGCTGGGCCTGTCGGCACTGTTGGCCCTCCTCCACCATCCTTGGAGCTCTGCCCTGCCCACTGCTGCACCTCCTCTTGCCCTCCACCCACCACTCCCACAGTCGCTGCCGCGGCAGCAGCTGCAGTGCCGGTGACATGCTTCGTGTGATCCCCTTGCACCAGATGCTGCTGCTGCTGCTGGCGTGTGGGCGGTGAGAGAACTGCATTCACGTGCAGCAGCCACGAGACAAGAGGCTCTGCTGCCTGCGCTGCAATTGAATCTGGTCCCGCTGGTGTGGCAGCAGGGGCAGTGGAGGAGAGCGATGGCGGAGAGGCAAGTGGCATGTGGAGTGGAAGCCAGGAGGCCACCTGCTCATGGGATGGGATGCGCATTGGGGGTTGCCAGTCAGTGCCTCAAGGCCTGATCGCAATCAAAGATTTGACAAGTGGCAGGAGATGATCTCATTTGAAATATAAAGATAAATACCTACTTGAGACAAAGGGTCAGCCATAACCTGAAACAATGCTGAAAAATCACCTGAAGCAGACAGCTGAGTATGGAGGGAGGCAGGGGTTCGGCATGACGTGGCAAGGACAGGGTGGTGGAGAGCGCTGATGTCAGCAAGTGAGAGCAACGCGTTGCTGATTGGACGAGTTGCTCCAAGCTGTGCACGGCTGCGATCCTGGTGGGGCCGAGCAGAGAGTGAGAGAGCGAACAGGGGGGGACATGCCGCACGATGCAAGAAGCAGGCTGGCTGAAATGTGCACCGTGCTCTGAGTCAAGAGAGGATGGGGTTCAGCTAGGCCGAGAGAGTGTGTGCGCATGGCAAACCGGGTGCAATGCGTGTGTGGTGGCGGGGGCACAAGCATACATCTGTGCAATGAGTGAATGCCATGTGCGGGAGAGTGCGCGTTGAAGTGAGCAAGAGCGTGCAAGCATGTGCACATGCGTGCATGTGTACACGTTTGGATGAGCGAGAGCGGTACCTGGGGTGGAGAGGGCGAGCACCAGAGAGCAGGCCCTCCAAGCACCGCAGCGACACGCGCGGCAGGCGCCGAGGCTGCACAGCAGGAGGGCGTGAGGGAGAGACGAGGGGGAGGGGGAGGGAGAGACGAGGGGGAGGGGGAGGGAGAGACGAGGGGGAGGGGGAGGGAGAAGCGTGGAGAGGAGCGAGTGGAGGGAGCGAGTGGAGGGAGCGAGTGGAGGGAGCGAGTGGAGGGAGCGAGTGGAGGGAGCGAGTGGAGGGAGCGAGTGGAGGGAGCGAGTGGAGGGAGCGAGTGGAGGGAGCGAGTGGAGGGAGCGAGTGGAGGGAGCGAGTGGAGGGAGCGAGTGGAGGGAGCGAGTGGAGGGAGCGAGTGGAGGGAGCGAGTGGAGGGAGCGAGTGGAGGGAGCGAGTGGAGGGAGCGAGTGGAGGGAGCGAGTGGAGGGAGCGAGTGGAGGGAGCGAGTGGAGGGAGCGAGTGGAGGGAGCGAGTGGAGGGAGCCAGTGGAGGGAGCGAGTGGAGGGAGCGAGTGGAGGGAGCGAGTGGAGGGAGCGAGTGGAGGGAGCGAGTGGAGGGAGCGAGTGGAGGGAGCGAGTGGAGGGAGCGAGTGGAGGGAGCATGCACTCGCGCTGCTGGTGGCAAGTGAGGCGGATGCATGTGCAGGTGGAAGAGGGACGTGCAGGTGGAAGAGGGACGTGCAGGTGGAAGAGGGACGTGCAAGCGTGCTCCTGTGGTGGTATGGCATTTTAGCAGGAGCAGTGGGGCGGCAGGACGTACATGGAACAATGCTGAGACGGCAGGTGTGACGGCTGCTGAGGCGAGGGAGGAGCAGAACGGGCATGTGAAGGGACCTTGCTGCTGCTGCTGCTGCTGCGGCGGCAACGGCTGCTGTTGCTCAGTGCTCTGGTCATGCCGTTGCCGCTGCTGCGGCTGTGGGTGGCTGTCTCTGTCTGTACCTGGTGGAACTACCCCTCCACCCGCCCCCCCACCCTGCTCTGCCCTTGCCTGCTGCTGCCCTGCTGCCTCTCGCTTCTGCTCTTGCGCCTTCTCCTGCTGCTGCTCGTCTTGAGCGGCGGAGGGGGCGGCAGCATGCAAGTATGAGAGACAGTCGGCGTAGAATCTGTGAGGGTGTAGAGTGAGGCAGGCAAGGGGAGGCGGTCGCAGGGAAGGCACACACAATGGAGGGAATGGGAATTGCAGCAGGCTCGCAATGAAGGAAAGGAAATATGCAGTGAGGGTGGGGGCAACCGTGGAGCAAGGAGGGGGGAGTATGCTTTATGATAAGATCCACATACCTCATGCTGCATCCGTCGCATATAAGTGCATCCTTCATGCCTTCGCCCTTCAATCCATATCCATTCTCTAACTTCTGCTCCTCCTCCTTTGCTTCACCCTTCTCCAAACGCACTGCTCCCATATTCCCTTCCCTATCGCCTCTTGCTTCTCCTGCCTTCTCTTCCCTCTTCTCCCATGACATCCCTGCGCCGCCTGCACCACTCTCTCGCCCAACAGCACCGCACACAACAGCAGCGGCTCTCCTCCCACCGCTGCGCTTTCCCCGAACCCGGACATCCCCACCGCCTCCTCCCGCCTGCCCGCCAACCACTGCCTGCCCGTCGCTGCCGCCAGAGAAACCAGCAGAAGCAGCACATGCAGGGTGGGCGCGGTGCAGCACCGCACACCAGCAAACGGTGTCGGACGAAGAGACGCTTCCAGCAACCGCCGCCGCAGCAGCACCAGGCGGAGCAGGTACAGGTGCCTCTGATGCCTCTGGCGCCCCTCGCACTGCTGCTGCTACTGCCGGTGCCACACCTGGTGCCGGCGCATGAGCTGGTGCTGTGGCTGTGGGGGCCGTGGCTGCGGGAGATGCGGCGGCAGCCACGGCATCTGCGGTGGCACCTACTGCACTGCCTGCCAGCACTGCGGGATGAGGAGCATTGGCTGACGCAGAGGGGGGTTGAGCCGGCAGAGCAGTGAGGTGTGAGAGGGCAGCGGTGCGGCGGGCCAGGGAGGAGATGCGATGAAGAGCTGCTTGCACGCTGCTGTGCATGTGCTTCAGCTTCCGCACCACCTCCTCCTCACACACCCGCCCCTTGCCCTCCCCGTGCAGCCCCTTACCCTCCTCTGGTGCCACACTCCCCTCCCCTTGTGCCCCCTCGCCTCCCCCTCTCGCCCCCTCGTCCCCTGAGCCCCCCCGGAGGGCAGCACAGCAGGCAACGAGCCAGTCGTCCAGCGCTGCCACTGCCTGCTGCACCTGCCGGGCCTCCCCGCTCGCCACCACGCTGCTGCTGCCGCGCACCTGGTGTGAGAGTGGGTGGGTGGGCCACAGGGGGAAACGAGGAGCGGTGGCTGTTAGAGTATACTACTCTGTTGTATCCTGCATTGATCCTATCAACCCTAGGATAGAGATAGGCACCCAAACAATGTTTGGGTGCACAACTAGGGTTAACCCTAGATGGGGGTTGGAACCCAACCTTGGCCCAATTATTGGACCCCAAGGTTGGGTTGGAGGATTATTGGTCCCCCCAATAATGTTGGCCCACTTTTGACCAACATTATTGGGACCCCCCAATAATTCCCCAACCCAACTTATTGGTGGGGGCCAATAATGTTGGCTAGGTACCAACCAACCCCCCCTTTTCCTTAGCTCCAACTATGTAAGCCCGTATCATTCCTAATCAAACTATCGGTTCAATTCTCACATGTTATCAGAGCCCTTACGGCTAACACCACTCAAGATCCTAGGACCATACCCTACCTCCCGACGGCTCTGCCGTGCCCCTTGCGCTCCTTAGCGCACCTCCCACCTCTCAGCCGTGCCCCTTGCGCCTCTCAGCGCACCTCCCGCAGGCTCTGTCGTCCCCCTTGCGCCACTTAGCGCACCTCCCGCCGGCTCAGCCGTGCCCCTCGCGCCGCTCAGCGCACCTCCCGCCGACTCTGCCGTGCCCCTCGTGCCACCTCGGCGCCCCTCTCCTCACCACGTCCGCCCCCCGCGACGAACGCGCCCGTCAGCCGCGGACGCGACGAACGCGCCCGTCAGCCGCGGACGCGACGAACGCGCCCGTCAGCCGCGGACGCGACAAACGCGCCTGTCAGCCGCGGACGCGACGAACGCGCCCGTCAGCCGCGGACGCGACGAACGCGCCCGTCAGCCGCGGACGCGACGAACGCGCCCGTCAGCCGCGGACGCGACGAACGCGCCCGTCAGCCGCGGACGCGACGAACGCGCCCGTCAGCCGCGGACGCGACGAACGCGCCCGTCAGCCGCGGACGCGACGAACGCGCCCGTCAGCCGCGGACGCGACGAACGCGCCCGTCAGCCGCGGACGCGACGAACGCGCCCGTCAGCCGCGGACGCGACGAACGCGCCCGTCAGCCGCGGACGCGACGAACGCGCCCGTCAGCCGCGGACGCGACGAACGCGCCCGCCAGCCGCGGACGCGACGAGCGCGCCCGTCAGCCGGGAACGCGACGAGCGCGCCCGTCAGCCGCGGACGCGACGAACGCGCCCGTCAGCCGCGGACGCGACGAGCGCGCCCGTCAGCCGGGGACGCGACGAGCGCGCCCGTCAGCCGCGGACGCGACGAACGCGGCCGTCAGCCGCGGACGCGACGAACGCGCCCGTCAGCCGCGGACGCGACGAACGCGGCCGTCAGCCGCGGACGCGACGAACGCGACCGTCAGCCGCGGGCGCGACGAACGGGACCGTCAGCCGCGGGCGCTACGGACGCGGCCGTCAGCCGCGGACGCCGCGGAGACGCCCACCAGCTGCGGATGCCGTGGACGCCGCGGAGACGCCCACCAGCCGCGACGGACCCTGAATTAGGGTTTACTGCTACCGCCCGTGGAGCAGCCGGACCGCCCTGTCCCTCAAGACGGTGTCGTCCACCTCTCAAGGCAGTGGCTTGCTTGGGGCAACGTTAAAGAAGGGAGATTGTAGCTGACACTTTGGAGAATTGAAATGAGAGGATTGGATGGAGGGAGAGACGAGATGAGCTGGAGTGGGAATGGAGAAGGGCGCGTTGGAGGAAGAAGGGAGGGAGGGATGGAAGTTAAGGAACACAGCCGAGTGCACATTGCGGGAGGAGATGGAAGCACAGTATGAAACGTGAGATGCCACGCATATTCAGAGATATGGCTTGCGTGAGGCATACCTGGAGGCCCTTGAGGTGCGCAAGTGTTGTGGCAGGTGCACGGGGCAGCAGCGGAGGTGGTGAGGTGGGCGCAGGGAGGCGTGGGGCGAGCAGTTGCTGCACCTCGCTGACCCACTCCCTGGTAGGCAGGGCACATCCACGGAGGGGGGTGGGTGGGCACAAGGGTGCGTGTGTGTGCGCTAGGAGTGGAAGGCACAGCGGTGAGCAAGCACATAAGTGGGCAGCAGCACAGGGACCGAGAGCACAGGAAGAAACTATGGTGGCCACTCCCTAAACCCCAGCATTGCACCACAACAAGAGACGTGCGTGGGAGAGGTGCAGGCGCTGACCTGTGGGAGGCGATGACGGTGCTGAGCTGGTGGCACTTGTCGTGCACACACACCTGCAAGGCCTGCACCAATAGCATGGCGTGGAGGGGCATGGGGGCCAACGAGAGGCAAGCAACAGAAGGGAGGGCACACAGGTGGGGCCACCAGTCGCTACAACGGCTGCAGCAGAGGTGCCTCGAGCTGTGGCTAGTTCACATGGATAGATGGTACAAGGGCGCTGTACACAAAACAGAATAACCAGATTACTACAGATAGAACACACGCACATAGCCCCCATTCACCCTAGCGCACAACCCTCACTTCACCCCTTGCTCCACTCCCCTCCCTCCATCTCTCTCACCATGCCACGTGCCACCATCGCCTCCACCTCCTGCACCTCACAGCTGGCAGGGCCACGTGTCAGCATCTCATTGGCCGCCTGCACCCACTGCCGTGCGTCCGCCAGGGCTGAGTGCAGCAGGGAGAGGCGCGCCGAGGGGGGCGGAGAGGGGGCGGATGCAGCAGGCTGAGCAAGGCCCTCGGATGGAGCTGCTGATGGTAGTGGTGGTGCTGATGGCGTTGGGTGGGGTGGAGGGTGGGCGAGCGCATCAGTGAGTGGGTAAGCCGCCACCAGTGCCTCCACCTCCTCCACGCTGGGCTTGCCTCGCCTCTCACCACCACCCTGCACCGCACTGTCCTGCGCCACACCACCACTCTGCACCGCAGTATCTGCAGTGCCAGACAGCAGGGCATGGGCGGCGACCTCCCAGTGCAGGCGCTGCAGCAGCGCGCGCACAGCCGGCAGCTCGGGCACCGCCACGCCCAGCGCTGCCCCCTGGGTGAGCAGTGACGACAGCTCAGCCGCACTGGCGCTCGCTGCTGCTGCCGGCACCAGTAGCTCCGGGGGGGGCTTGCCTGCAGGCGCAGCTGGTGCTGATGCAAGGGGTGTGGCGCCTGACTCGGTGGCGATGGGCACTGCAGCCGGGCTGGCTTGGGTGCTCTGTGCTGCAGCTGCTGTGGTCGGTGTGACTGTGGTGGGTGGTGAGAGCAAGGTGGTGGCGGTGTGGAGGGCGTGTGAGGTGGCGGATTGCCAGGCGGCGAGAGAAGAGAGCAGCGAGGCGAGCTGTGGTGCGTGCGGTGGACGCACGGGCAGCGCAACAACCTCTGCATGCAAGGCCTGTGGCAAACGGCGGATGGAGGGGGATGTGAGAAGGACGAGGGTAGGTGGGAAAAGGGGGAGACGGGGGAGAGGGTTGGGTGGGGTGGAGGGGGGGAGGGAAGGAGGGAGGATGAGATGGAGTCAGGTGGACGCAGTCAAGTGTACCAGGGTCGAGCATATGCAGCTAAAAAACAAACAATTGATACCCGTTTCGACATTTGACGCCCAGCTTTCTTTTCCCAGAGCTGACCAGAGAAAAAGAAGTCAGGCCTACCACATACCTCAATCTCTTCCACAGTCACTCGGGCATCCGCGCCCTCCTGCACCCCCCCTCCCTCGCCCTCCCCTCGCCCTCTCCTCCTCCGCTTCCACCTCCCTCCACTGCCTCTCTCCTTCCCCCCAGCGGGGGTAGCAACACCAGCACCAGTACCAGCAGTGACGGCAGCAGCGGAGCGGCGCACAGCCAGCAGCAGCTGGTCGCCTCGAGCTGCTGCTGCCCTTGCTGACGCCAGCGCTGACATGAGGTGAGCATGGCCTGCCAGCGATGCTGGCATGGCCTCCGCCTCCCTGTGCGGGCGGGCGAGGGATGTTTGGGGGGGCGGGGAGGAGGCAGTGGGGGCGGGGGGAAAGGGCAAAAGGGGAGGAAGGGGGGATACAGCGGGAAAAGAAACATTTGCGGAGAGGATGGGTGGGCGAGACAGGATGTGAGAATCCCATAGTTGGGATGAGAGGTGAACTCAAAAGTTGGTATATTGGGGAAAAAGAGCAGTACAGTACAAATAGGGCATGAGGTGAGTGAGCACAGTTAAGGTTCCCCCCCACCATTATTGGCTAACCAATGGGATGGGGGCCCCAGCTCAATAAGTGGGGTTGAACCAATTATTGGAGGAGCGAAACATCGAGGGTTTGGCCACCAATGTTGGCTCCCCAACAATAATCGTTTCTTGGGTTGCGGGACCCCAACCAAAAGTCGGACGTCCTCTTCAATGTGTACACCCATGATTTGGGTGTACACTAATAGGTCTAACCATAAACATGATACAATATAACACAGGGTACGTAGCTAAGTGTCTCACACGGAGGGGGATACGGAAGCACGGAATGCGATGCGAGACGCCTTCATGTGGGCAAGTGCGCAGTGGACTGGAGGATTCGCCAAGATGATTGCATTCACTGCACCACTACCTTTTTTACAACACCTCATCTCCCCACGTGTATCACTCACCCTCGCCTCCCCCTCTCACCTGCTCATCGCCTCGCCCTCCTCCAGGCTGCACCCCTCCTGCAGCGCCCTCTGCGCCCTGGCCTGCCAGTCGCTGCCTGCCGCCACCACCGCGTGCACGCGCGCCACCACTGCACTGCCCGTGGGCAGCCTGAGCGTGGGGTGAGTACAGGCCGTGGGGTGAGTACAGGCCGTGGGGTGAGTACAGGCCGTGGACAGGCCGTGGGGTGAGTACAGGCCGTGGGGTGAGTACAGGCCGTGGGGTGAGTACAGGCCGTGGGCGGGATGGGTGGGACGGGAGGGAGAGTAGGGTTGGGAGGAGTGGGACAGGTGCGACGGACAGGGTTGAGTGAGAGGCACGGGAGAGGAAGCAGGTGGAGTGTGTGCTTTTCATGACACACCAAATGACAGACATAAGCAGGCCTGAACCTTCAAGCTGCAAGTTGCGAAGGATCTAGTAGCAAGGCAGGAATGTCTCTCTCTCATTCTCTCCCTTTGCCCCATCTATTTCTCTTGGAATCTCCCTCCCTCACTCTCCTGCTCTCAACTATCTCCCTACATCTCCCACTCTCCTTGCTCTCCCACACGCTCACCGCTCCCCCTGTGCCTCCAGCGCCAGCAGCTCGTCCACTGATGCACGGCGCATGAGCGCCCCCTCCGCCGCCTCCTCCCACTGCATGCGCTGCAGCTGCTGCTGCACCTGCTCCATCTCGCCCACTGGCAGAAGGGGGGGAGAAGAGTGTGGGGATTTGTGGGTTGGAAGTGGTTCAGGAAAAAACGAAATGTGCAGCAACAGCCGCAGCGGTGGCAGCAGTAGCGGCAGGAGGAGGCGATGGAAGCAGAAAACAGTGATGATGATGCTGTTGTTGTTGACCATGCAGGTGTGACGCTGCTCCTGCTCCTCACACTCCCTCTCCACGGCATTCACCGCCCCACCCTCCACCGCCCCACCCCCACTCACGAGTGACGTGCATGCGCGTGCCAGCCTCCACCAGCGCTGCCAGCTCCTCCTTCCACCCGCTCTGCCTGCCCGACGTGGGTGTGACAGTGGCGGGTGTGACAGTGGCAAGTGGGACAGCGGCGGAAGGCGACGGGAGAAGCAGAGTAGCTTGGACAGCGGCAGGGCAAGGGGCAGCAAGAGGGGTGGCGTCAGTGGCAGAAGCTGTGAGCGCAGCAGGGGCTGTGGCAGACGGAGTGGGGATGGATGCAGGGTGGTGGGAAGAGGGAGTGCAGGCAGCAACGGTGGGAGGAGGGGTTGCTGGAGAGGGAGCAGCAGCAGCGGTGGTGCGAGTGACAGGCAGGGGGGTGGCAGGAGCAGGTGTGGTGGGGGGAGCAGAAGGGGGAGAGAGTCTGGAGGGGGGAGGGCTGCCCGGGCCACACTTGCTGCTTGCCACACTAGCTGCTCCTGCATGCCCCTGCCCCTCCTCTTGCCCCTGCCCTTCTTTTTTCCCCTGTTTGTGTGCCTGCTTGCCCCTCCCCCCATCCTTGCCCCCCAGTGCCGCCAGCAGTGCGCGTGCCCTCTCTCCCCAGCGCCGTGCGTCGTCCCGCCGGGCCTGCAGCTGCGCCACCGCTGGCAGCCGCACCGCCACGCCCCTCGCCTCCTGCAGCAACCCGTCCATGTCCTGAGGGGGGAAGGACGGGGGGACGGGGATTGAAGACGCACGGGGGGGCGCCGGGTGAGCTTGGGTGTGGAACGAGACACAGGCAGGGAGGCGAGGAAGGGGGGAGGAGGTTTGGGCAATGAGGCGAGCGGGAGAGATGCAAGGAGAGGCAGCGCTGACTGGCGGAACAAAAGGCGCGAAAGCAGGTTGCCGGGAACGAGAGAGCAGCGCGGTGGACATGGCAGTGTGGGGAGGTGACAGCGAGGTGGGGAGGTGGCAGCGAGGTGGGGAGGTGGCAGCGAGGTGGGGAGGTGGCAGCGAGGTGGGGAGGTGGCAGCGAGGTGGGGAGGTGGCAGCGAGGTGGGGAGGTGGCAGCGAGGTGGGGAGGTGACAGCGAGGTGGGCAGGTGGCAGCGAGGTGGGGAGGTGGCAGCGAGGTGGGCAGGTGGCAGCGAGGTGGGGAGGTGGCAGCGAGGTGGGCAGGTGGCAGCGAGGTGGGCAGGTGGCAGCGAGGTGGGCAGGTGGCAGCGAGGTGGGCAGGTGACAGCGAGGTGGGCAGGTGACAGCGAGGTGGGCAGGTGACAGCGAGGTGGGCAGGTGCAGCGAGGTGGGCAGGTGGCAGCGAGGTGGGCAGGTGGCAGCGAGGTGGGCAGGTGGCAGCGAGGTGGGCAGGTGGCAGCGAGGTGGGCAGGTGGCAGCGAGGTGGGCAGGTGGCAGCGAGGTGGGCAGGTGGCAGCGAGGTGGGCAGGTGGCAGCGAGGTGGGCAGGTGGCAGCGAGGTGGGCAGGTGGCAGCGAGGTGGGCAGGTGGCAGCGAGGTGGGCAGGTGGCAGCGAGGTGGGCAGGTGGCAGCGAGGTGGGCAGGTGGCAGCGAGGTGGGCAGGTGGCAGCGAGGTGGGCAGGTGACAGCGAGGTGGGCAGGTGGCAGCGAGGTGGGCAGGTGGCAGCGAGGTGGGCAGGTGGCAGCGAGGTGGGCAGGTGGCAGCGAGGTGGGCAGGTGGCAGCGAGGTGGGCAGGTGGCAGCGAGGTGGGCAGGTGGCAGCGAGGTGGGCAGGTGGCAGCGAGGTGGGCAGGTGGCAGCGAGGTGGGCAGGTGGCAGCGAGGTGGGCAGGTGGCAGCGAGGTGGGCAGGTGGCAGCGAGGTGGGCAGGTGGCAGCGAGGTGGGCAGGTGGCAGCGAGGTGGGCAGGTGGCAGCGAGGTGGGCAGGTGGCAGCGAGGTGGGCAGGTGGCAGCGAGGTGGGCAGGTGGCAGCGAGGTGGGCAGGTGGCAGCGAGGTGGGCAGGTGGCAGCGAGGTGGGCAGGTGGCAGCGAGGTGGGCAGGTGGCAGCGAGGTGGGCAGGTGGCAGCGAGGTGGGCAGGTGGCAGCGAGGTGGGCAGGTGGCAGCGAGGTGGGCAGGTGGCAGCGAGGTGGGCAGGTGGCAGCGAGGTGGGCAGGTGGCAGCGAGGTGGGCAGGTGGCAGCGAGGTGGGCAGGTGGCAGCGAGGTGGGCAGGTGGCAGCGAGGTGGGCAGGTGGCAGCGAGGTGGGCAGGTGGCAGCGAGGTGGGCAGGTGGCAGCGAGGTGGGCAGGTGGCAGCGAGGTGGGCAGGTGGCAGCGAGGTGGGCAGGTGGCAGCGAGGTGGGCAGGTGGCAGCGAGGTGGGCAGGTGGCAGCGAGGTGGGCAGGTGGCAGCGAGGTGGGCAGGTGGCAGCGAGGTGGGCAGGTGGCAGCGAGGTGGGCAGGTGGCAGCGAGGTGGGCAGGTGGCAGCGAGGTGGGCAGGTGGCAGCGAGGTGGGCAGGTGGCAGCGAGGTGGGCAGGTGGCAGCGAGGTGGGCAGGTGGCAGCGAGGTGGGCAGGTGGCAGCGAGGTGGGCAGGTGGCAGCGAGGTGGGCAGGTGGCAGCGAGGTGGGCAGGTGGCAGCGAGGTGGGCAGGTGGCAGCGAGGTGGGCAGGTGGCAGCGAGGTGGGCAGGTGGCAGCGAGGTGGGCAGGTGGCAGCGAGGTGGGCAGGTGGCAGCGAGGTGGGCAGGTGGCAGCGAGGTGGGCAGGTGGCAGCGAGGTGGGCAGGTGGCAGCGAGGTGGGCAGGTGGCAGCGAGGTGGGCAGGTGGCAGCGAGGTGGGCAGGTGGCAGCGAGGTGGGCAGGTGGCAGCGAGGTGGGCTGGGCAGGTGGCAGCGAGGTGGGCAGGTGGCAGCGAGGTGGGCAGGTGGCAGCGAGGTGGGCAGGTGGCAGCGAGGTGGGCAGGTGGCAGCGAGGTGGGCAGGTGGCAGCGAGGTGGGCAGGTGGCAGCGAGGTGGGCAGGTGGCAGCGAGGTGGGCAGGTGGCAGCGAGGTGGGCAGGTGGCAGCGAGGTGGGCAGGTGGCAGCGAGGTGGGCAGGTGGCAGCGAGGTGGGCAGGTGGCAGCGAGGTGGGCAGGTGGCAGCGAGGTGGGCAGGTGGCAGCGAGGTGGGCAGGTGGCAGCGAGGTGGGCAGGTGGCAGCGAGGTGGGCAGGTGGCAGCGAGGTGGGCAGGTGGCAGCGAGGTGGGCAGGTGGCAGCGAGGTGGGCAGGTGGCAGCGAGGTGGGCAGGTGGCAGCGATGGCAGCGAGGTGGGCAGGTGGCAGCGAGGTGGGCAGGTGGCAGCGAGGTGGGCAGGTGGCAGCGAGGTGGGCAGGTGGCAGCGAGGTGGGCAGGTGGCAGCGAGGTGGGCAGGTGGCAGCGAGGTGGGCAGGTGGCAGCGAGGTGGGCAGGTGGCAGCGAGGTGGGCAGGTGGCAGCGAGGTGGGCAGGTGGCAGCGAGGTGGGCAGGTGGAAGCCCGTGTAGAGGGGCAGCCCCATAGGGGGGGCAGCACCCGAGGGAGCAGCACCTGGGGAGGCAGCACCTGGGGAGGCAGCACCTGCAGGGTGGGCGAGGAGTGCAGCAGCGCATGAGCCTGCACGTCCATGTGCCTGGCAGCGCGCAGCAGCGCCGCCACCACCTCGTGCTCCGCCACGCGCACTCGCAGGCGCTCGCCCTGAGGGGAGGGAGGACAGCACACCGCAGCACGCACCGGAGTAGAGATTAGGGGGAGAAACCAGGCGGAAAAATAAAGCGTAACGGGCAGGGGGGGAAACGTAGTAAGGCGACACTTGAGAGGCAGGTGGAGGAGGTTCAAGCGCACTGCGTGCATTTTCGAGCGCACGACAATCACAGAAGCATAGCAAGCAGCAGCGATGGGCCGATGGGCAAGGCAGCACCTGCGAGTGCAGCATGGCGAGGGAGTGCAGGTCGGGCAGAGGGACATGTGCCGCTGCTCGAGGTGGCTTCCCCCGCGGCACCGTTCTCTGCACCGCCTCCACCCAGTGCTGATAGGATGGGCGCAACAAGGGAACGAGGGGAGCGGGGGGAGGGTATCAGGCAGAGGGGGAAGAGGGGCGAGGGGAAAGACCAAGGCAGCCAGAATAAGTCGCAATAGCAGTGGATAGGCCTGTCAATAGATTCATGGTGGGGTGATTAAGACGTGTGCTGTAATTGCAGTTTCAGAAAGGTGAGAAGTGGAAGAATACGAGAAGCTGTCACAAGTAATTGTCATGGTCATCTAACCAGTGTGATATTCCCCTTATCTACTATAAATCTCTAGTGTGAGTGTGAGTACCACCCATTGGCAGGACTATACATGGGCGGCGAGGAGGGCGTCTTTGAGCTTGGCGGCTGCAGGGATGTCCACCGTGCCTGCTGCCGCCTCTGCATGCAGCGCCTGTAGCTCCTTTGCCTGATGGGGGTTGTGGGGCATGCAGCCACGTGAAGCGCGTATAGATTGTGCATGCATGGTGCATGGTGCATGGTGCATGGTGCATGGTGCATGGTGCATGGTGCATGGTGCATGGGGGGGTAGGGATGAGCAAGGGGCGAACACGAACGTGTTCGCATTCGCCCCAGCTCGAACACTGCCGTTCGGCGAACCGAACACTGTTCGGTTCGCCGAACACCTTTTACAAAAAAAGGTGTTCGATGTTCGCCTGTGAGGGCGAACATCTTGCATGCTAAGGCGAACACGAACGTGTTCGCCCCTGGGCATCCTTTGTTACGCTCGAAATACGCAACGGCGGGCAGGGGAATTGCGGGAAACTGGGGGAAAATGTCTAGGCTGGATCAGCATTTTGCGAGATCTAGTTACGGATCCATAGTTACTTTTATCCAACTCGCCACCTGGATTTCCCCCCACGTAAGGCGAAATGCTCTCCCCGTTCTATATTCACGAAATTTGCAATTGCTCGCCAACCCCCCACAACCCCCAACTCACGAAATATGCGAACGCTATTCCTCTCAATCCCATGCATACGAAATTTGCGAATGCTTACCCCCAACCCTCAACTTACGAGATTCTGCGATATCCCTGTCTAATCTTTTCCCGAAAACCTAAATCTCGCATACCCAAGTCTAGACAGACTAACCTAAGGTAACTACTTCGTTAAGTCCTAATGAGGTGATAACGGCGTGATGTGTGGGGGGCGTGGTAGTAATGGCTGCTGCTGAATAGCGCGACTAAGTTTGAGCTCAAATTTGAGCTCAAACAGAATGTCCCGCAACGTAAATTGTAGCCCGCCGGGACAGTCGCGTCGAACACATTCGTGTTCGTTTTTGCCCCCAAACGAACACGAACGCGTTCGTGTTTGACGCGGCTCGGCAACAGTAGCGGGGCGAACACCGAACACGTTCGCCCCGAACACTTTTAGCCAAAAAAAAATCCTGTTCGGTTCGCCTCGAACACGTTCGAGGCGAACCGAACAGGTGTTCGTTTCCATGCTCATCCCTATGGGGAGGTGAGACGACTGTGCGATCAGATGATGAACAGTGAGCTGCACAGAAGAGCGGCGCAAGCAAGAGTAGCCGGAGCGGAGAGCAAGGTAAGAGTGTAAGAGGGGAGTGCCTGAGAGCCCATGGAATGCAGTCCACAACAGAGAGGCACACCTCCGAGTGGCGGCTTGGCGTGCAGCGCGAGGCGAATGCGCTGGTCCAGGGCGAGGGCGTCGCGGTACAGCACCTGGGGGTGGGGGCGGTGGGGCAGGGGAACAGATGCGGGACAGGAGGACAGATGCGGGGCAGGAGGACAGATGTGGGGCAGGAGGACAGATGTGGGGCAGGAGGACAGATGTGGGCGTCAGGGAAAGGAGCAGCCAATGGAGCAGACTTGGCAGCTGCAGGAAACCATCACCGTCACCGATGACCTCGCTGCGACCTGACAGGGCCACGCCCCTCAGCAACTGCACCACTGAGCACCCGTGCACACACCTTGAGCGTCTTATAGTGCGGCTCAATGCAGGGCACGTCCGAGGCGGCCGCCTCCAGCAGCCTCTGCACCTCACACAGCCCCCTCCTCCTCCCGCCCCCTCCGCTGCCGCTGCTGCCCGCCCCTCGTGCTGCGTGGCTTGGCCCGGCAGCAGCGGGTGAAGCAGAGGGCGGCAGTGACAGCAGCGGGTGGCTGGAAGAGCAGGCAACGAGAGGTGGCGCGGCAGCAGCAGCGGGCAGCGTTTGGCCGCAGCACGCTGCCACGTCGTGCGCCCATGTGAGCGCTGCCAGTGCCCTGTCGTGCACTCGCCGCGCCTGGGCGTAAGGTAAGGGGGACCGGGAGGGGGGGGGGGGTGGGGGGAAGGGTTCAGGTGGCGATCTGGATGAGAAGGATTTAGGGGAGAAGAGGAGAGCGTGGAGCGGCAGCGAGAGGGGAAGCGGACAGAATGAGCGTGAGTGAGGAAAGCGGCAGCACAGAGGCACTCACGGCATCGACCTCATGGCCCGCCCACAGGAACTCCTGCGCCTGCTGCACCAGCGCCACCGCTGCTTCTACGGTGGGCGGTGAGCGCAGCGCCACCTTGCCCCGCGACGCCCACTGCGCCGCCCACTCGCCGTGCGTCATCATGCGCCCCCGCACCCGCCGCTGCTGCGCCACCCACCCCCCGCCACTGCCCGCCCGACACCTGTCCAAAAACTCCTCCGCCTGCACCATCTCGCCCCCGTGCCCCCCTCCCCCGCTCCCCCCTGCAGCCCTGCCCCGCATCCACTCCGCCATCTCCGCCTCTGCACTCCCAAGTCCATCATATGCTCCCTTCCCTGCCCGAATCTTCTCCGACCCTCCTACTCTACCCATGCCAGCAGCATAGCTGCTCTGCTCCTCCTTCACGCTCTCCCCACCTTCTTCTGCACCTGCTGCTGCCGCTTCTGCTGCAGCAGCAGCAGCGGCGGCAGCTCGGCGGCGGCTTCGTCGCACACCACTGCTCTCTGCCTCGCACTGCCCTGTTTCCCCTTGTCCTCCTCCCTCTCCGTCAACTCCTCTTCCACCCCTCTCTCTGTCTTCTCCTCCTGGTTCCTTGCACACCGCCTCCCCCACGTCCCCCTTGCTTGCTGACTCCACCACACCATCACTACCGCTCCCACCCTCCACCCCTTCTTGCTTCACAATCACACCAACGCGTCTCTCAACGCCCCCCTCCACGCGCCCCTCCACCTGTCCCTCACGCATGCCCGCCTCATCGGAAGAAGGCTGTGCTGATTGGTCCACGCCAGCACATGCCCGGCTGTCACGGCATGGCATGGTGGCAGCAAGGTCAGTGTCACTGTCACACACTGCAGCACCACTACCACCAACACCACCACCGCCATTCGCCTCACCACCACCACCACCACTGCCCTTGCCTTGCACGGAATCCCCACCCTCACTCTGACCCCCAACCCCACCCCCTGCTCCCCCTCCAACGCCCTTCGCTTCCTCTTTCACATCCCTCCCCCCCCCGTATCCCCTGGTGAGCACCTTGATGCCAATGCTGGTGAGTCCGCACACGGGCAGGCTGCTCACAGAAGCAGCGCTGGCGCGGCGAGAGTACGTGATGGGTGCACGCGGGGCGCTGCTGCTCGCATGCCCGCCCCTGTGCCCGCCTACATGCCCGCCCCTGTGCCCGCCTACATGCCCGCCCGCATGTTCCCCTGCTTGCTTGCCACTGCTGCTGCTGCTGCCTCCCGCTGCTGCCCTGCTGCTCTCGGCCTTCACCACCACCTCCTCCACTGCTGCTTTCCCCCGTCCATCACCCACACCCCCCTCCCCTCCACTCCCCTTCCCCCCCTCGCTCCGCCCCTCTCCACTACTTTCGCTCCCCCCGTTGCCACTCCCTGCCCGCCCCTCGCGTGGCCCCTCAGTGCGGCCATCCCCTGCAGCAAGCAGCAAGTCTTCAAGCTCGGCCAGGGAGAGGCGGTACAGCAGCGTGCGGCGCGCAGGCGGGCAGTCGCACAGCTGACAGGCGTGCTGCCATGGGGGGGAGGAGGGGTGAGGGGGACAGGGGGATAGGGGGGATAGGGAGAGGGGGAGAGCGGGACAGCGAAAGGGGGGAACGAGGAGAAGGAGGGGTTGAGGCAAGTGAGAAGTGAAGGGCATTTGCACAGTGGAAAATGAAGGACGATGTTTGCATGGAAGGCAGCACGGGTAACACAGCAGCAGCATTTACCTGCAGGCACACGGCATCCCGAGGGCGGCAGGGGCAGACGACAGCGGAGAGGAAGAGGTAGTAGCGGCAGATGAGGCACTCCCTGTCCTGCTGAGAGGGGGAGGGCCGTGCGGAGGGTGGGGGCAGAGAGGAGGAGGGCGACAGGCAGGGGGATGGGGCAAGAGAGGAAGCAGAAAAAAACGGAGAACAGTGCTTTCTAAAGGCAAGAGCAGTACCTCTCAGGAGCCATGAACAGTGCCTCTCAGGAGCCATGAACAGTGCCTCGCAGGAGCCATGAACAGTGCCTCTCAGGAGCCATGAACAGTGCCTCTCAGGAGCCATGAACAGTACCTCTCAGGAGCCATGAACAGTACCTCCTCCTCGGTGATGGCATCTGGGCGTGCATGTGGCGCCATGCGTGCGCTCCTCACTGTGCCCTGCGCCCACACCGCTTCCCTCGCCCGCCTCTCCCCCTCCACCACCCTCCGCACCTCCGCCCCCGCCACCTGCCTCTCCCCCGCCAGCAGCCCCCGCTGCTGGTTCTGGTGGCAGAGATACGGAGGGGCGGGGAGGGAAGGGGAGCGGAAAGGAAAGATGAGAGCTGATAAGGGGACGGGAGAAGAGGTGAGAAGGCAAGGAGGAGAAGTGCGGAATGGTGAGGAGCGGTGAGGAGAGGTAAAGAAAGGGGATGTGGGGAGAAGAGAGGAGTAAATGAAACAAGAGACAGAATGGCATGCGTATATCGTGTCTCACCATGAGCAGCACACACAGCATCTCCTCGTGTGAGAGGATGGACTTGCGGCGAAACAGCCGGTAGCGCTCCACACTGAGCGCCCCCCACGGCAGCCAGTCGCACGGCGCGAAGTTGACCGCTTCTGCGCAGTTCACCCCTGCGAGCGAGGGGAGAGGAGGCGAGTGGGACAGTGGCCAGGTGAGGGGTGTGAGTGTTGCGCCAAGCATTCGAAGTTGACCGCTTCTGCGCAGTTCACCCCTGCGAGCGAGGGGAGAGGGCAGTGGGAGGTTCGGACAGCGGAGGGGTGAGGGGTGTGTGCGTTGCACTGAGCAGTGAACGCTCATCTCCCCTGCGCAGGTCACCACTGCCACACAAGGCAGTGGCTGGTAGGGTTGAGACAAGAACCGAACAGGTTACCTTTTTTAGCTTAAAGTGTTTGTGACAAACGTGTTTGAGGTTCGCCCGAACATGCCTTCACAGACAAACACCAAACATCTGTTTTTGCAAAAAGGGTTCGCCGAACCGAACAGCTGTGTTCGGCGAACGGCTGTGTTCGTGCAGGGGCGAATACGAACACGTTTGTGTTCGCCCCTTGCTCGTCCCTAGTGGGTGGCAGGGAGAGGGGAGGGGCGTTCAGGTCCCCAGGGAGAACGAAAGGTTGAACATTCACAGTGTGGTGCGAGCAGTTGGTAGGGCATGGCAGAGAAGCAGCATGGTTGAGTTGAGTGACAGCGCGCCTGCATGCATCGTGTGATGCCCACTCGTGCTCGACCACCGGGTGGTGGGGGGAGGAGGGGAGGAATGAAGAGGAGGGGAGGAACGAAGAGGAGGGGAGGAATGAAGAGGAGGGGAGGAATGAAGAGGAGGGGAGGAATGAAGAGGAGGGGAGGAACGAAGAGGAGGGGAGGAACGAAGAGGAGGGGAGGAATGAAAAGGAGGGGAGGAATGAAGAGGAGGGGAGGAACGAAGAGGAGGGGAGGAACGAAGAGGAGGGGAGGAATGAAAAGGAGGGGAGGAATGAAGAGGAGGGGAGGAACGAAGAGGAGGGGAGGAATGAAGAGGAGGGGAAGAATGAAGAGGAGGGGAGGAATGAAGAGGAGGGGAGGAATGAAGAGGAAGGAGGAAGGGAGGAAAGGGGGGAGAGCCTACCTTGGTTGAAGCCAGCATGGTAGGAGCGCGGGAAGGTGACGACAAACTCGCGGGCGGCCTGCACGGTGCGGAAGATGGGCACTCCGGCGCGCTGCAGCGCCATGGGGTGTAACATGGTTACCAGCTGGAAGAGCAGGTCCGGCTGCGCCTCAAACAGATCTGGGAAAGCCGCCCGCATGACCTGTTGGTGGGAGGATGGGCAGGAAAGGGATATGGTGTATTGGATTAGTGAGAAAGAATGTGTTGGGGCTGGGAATGGGGATGGCGATGGGGATGGGGATGGTGAGAGTAGAATAAGAGTGAGGCGTGAGAAGGAAAGGACAGAGAAGAAGGTGGCGGTTCATGGCCCCTGGGCCACGTGTCCACACATGCACTTCCATCCCCTACCCTTGTGCCACCACCGCAACGTCAAAACACTGTAACCCATCATGCACTGTACATGTGACGCGGCACACATGACACGGGGCACGCGGCACACATCACACGGGGCACGAGGCACACATGACACGGGGCACGCGGCACACATCACACGGGGCACGCGGCACACATCACACGGGGCACGCGGCACACATCACACGGGGCACGAGGCACACATGACACGGGGCACGAGGCACACATCACACGGGGCACGAGGCACACATCACACGGGGCACGCGGCACACATGACACGGGGCACGAGGCACAGTGCACTGCAGCGCACCTGCTCGAAGGCCTCTGCTGCATGCCCCGGCACGCCGTACCACAGCTTTGGCTCGCCCCTGCCGCCCCAGCAGCAGCTCAACACGGCACGACATGCAGCAGACACAAGGCGAGAGCCCGGGGAGGGAAGGAAGGTATGGGGGGTTACTGGTTAGAAGGGGTGGTTACCAGAAGAGAGCAAAGGCGGGAGTGAGTGAAATGGAGGTGGCAGGCTGGCAGCCGCGCAGGCACACACAGGGGGGGCTCTGAACAGCGATGAGCAACAAGAAGGAAGGCAGCATGAGGAGAAGGGGAGAGGCGGCAGCGCACCAGTGGAGGTAGTTGATGGAGTAGAAGCAGTGGTCCTCGAAGTGCCAGCAGAAGGCGCTCATGGTCATACCCATGTACAGCCACGGCACTATCACCCCCGGGATCGCGTCCTCCACATACCGCAGCACCGACGCCGCATCCCGCGCCATGTTGTTCACGTTCCACCGCGCCCCCGCGTACTCCCGCCACCGCGCCTCACTCACACCGCTCTGCACCGCATGCGCCGGCACGGGTTCCCCTCTCCTGGGGAACCCGCTGCCGCAGGCGCCGGTGTCGATATCGCTGCCATAGAGGGTCTCCACAGGGCCTGCCGCCCCGTCCACTACCCGCCAAAACGCCTCCTCCAGCTGTGCTGGCGTGAGATTGCCGCCCAGTTTTGTGCCGAAGAGCCGCTCGCGCAGCGTGCGGTCGGCACGCTGCAAGGCGGCGATGGAGATGCTGCCGCCGGATGTGAAGCCAAAGGTGTCGTGCGGGCGGGCCACGCAGTCCTGGCAGAACCACGTGCCGTGCGGCACGGTAGAGAGCGGTGGAGAGAGGCAGAAGAGGTGCCAGCCGCGGTCGCAGCGGTCACACAGCAACATCTGCTCCTCGTGCCCCCCTCCTCTGCACCTCTCACACACCGCATCCGCTGCCGCGTCCTCACTGTCCGAGTCAGAGCCATCACCGCCCTCTGACTCCCCCCCATCGCCCTCCCCCTCCCCCTCCTCCTCCCCTCCTGACTCGCCGTGCCGGTACCTCACAGCCTTGGCTGCGCGCCAATGGCTGCTGGATCGGCCGCCAGCCTCGCCAGCACTCATCCCACCGCTGCTGCTGCCATCGCTCCGCTTCTGCGCCTTGCTGCCTCTCTCCCCCTCCGCCTCCTTTTCCTGTCGTTTTCGTTTCCCATCGGCGGCAGGCCCCGCCTCCTCGTGCGCCTCGTTGCGCCCATCGTCCGCCTGCGCCCTGCCCGCGCCCGCCTCTCGCCACGCCTCCAGCTCGTCCAGCCGCCACCGCCGGTAAACCGCCTTCAGGCCCCCCGCGTCCATGCTCGTCCGCTTCCCCGCCCCTTCCCCCTCCGCCCCGCCCGTCCCGCCCTGCAGCACCGACCGCAGCACGTCCCCCCACGCCCTGCTCTCGCTCACGCGCGCAAACCCTCCCCGCCGCTGCACGGCGTGGAACAGCGCGCAGATGTCCACCGCGCCCGCGCGCATGGCTTCCGCCGCCACCAACGCCCTGTCCTCCGCAGAAACCCCCTTTTTCCCCGCCCCCATCCCCGCGCGCGCAAGTGCGCGCTGCAGCGCCGGCGGGTGCGCAAGGTGGAGATCCGCGAGGAAGCGGAGGTAGTCGAGCGCAAAGGTGGCGGGGTCGGCGGGCGCGGGGCGGCGCTGCAGCTGGTGGAGCGCCTGCACCTTGGTGCGGAAGCGGAACTTGGCGCGGTCCAGCGCGAACGGCGGATCCCAGCCGGGCGGGGGGACTATGCGACACATGCCGCACGGCTCTGCGATCGGGCGAACGCGTGCGATGAATCGCAAGGGGTCGGCGAACTCCTCGGGCGACGGGTGGAAGACAGGGCACTCGTGCAGGGAGACAGCGGGAACGCGCGAGGGGCCTGACGGCCGGCCCAGAAGCGGCGCTGCCTTGGCGGTGCTGGGCGATGCGTTGGTGCTCGTGGGAGCCTTGAAGCTAGTAGTAGTCGATGCTTTGGTGCTAACCGGTGCTTTGGTGCTAGTCGCCTGCCCAGACTGCTTTGCCCCTGCGCTTCCCCCCATCCCTCCTTCCCCGCTCCTACCCTTACACGGCTGCCTCCCAGCCTTACTCTCTAAGCCCTGTGACGTGCTTCTACCGCCGCTGTCGTTGCTGCGAAAATCCCACTTCCTCGCTACGTCGCGACACCTCGTGCGACGAGTGCCCTGGTCGCACGGTGTGTGCCTGCTCGGATCTGTGCCGTCGCTGCCCGTCGATGGCCCTACTGCAGCTACAGCTGCCCTTTCACTGCCTGATACAGCTGCCCCTTCCCTGCCTCGTACATCTCTCCTTTCACTCCAGGCTGGATCTGCCCCTTCGCTGCCTGCTACAACTGTTCCTTCCCTGCCTACTTCAGCTATCCATTTGCTGCCTGCGCCTCGTTTTGCGACTCCTGATTCTTCGCCCGCATCTACCGTTCCCCCTGTCTCCGTTACACAAACTACTGCGGCTGCTGCTGCTTCTGCGGCGGCTGGCTACAGCCGGCAATGCAGCAGATGACTTCGTGAATTCGACTTGGCTTACTCGCGTCCTTCCGCCGCCATCTGACGATCTGTCCGCTCGGACCGATACTGCTTTAGCCATTACGAACCCGAATAACGAACGATGCAACTAAAGATGAAACCCTAGATTGCTGACACTACAGATGCCTGGCTCAATGCCGCTTTGGCTTGGACCTACTATTTCGTGGGTGAGCTCAACGGCTTGGGTTTATCAAATTGCCTTATCGAACTGTGTCTGTTGCCAGCTCCCGAAATTCGACCTTTCGCGACCCACTCTGTCGTCTGACGAGGTTCACGATTTCTGTTACAATATAGTCACGACGGTCGTGAGTCCCGCGCGAAGTGTGCGAGCAGTGGTGGTAATTGCAAGAAAACCATTGTTCTCCAGGAGAGGGGGAATGTTCATCAGCGTTAATGTGGTCCTCTTGAACTTGGAAATTTGCACCCAAATTTGGAGAGCGTTCTGTGGAACAACCCTTTCATGTTCGCTAGTCGGGGACCTTCTGCTCGATTGGTTTTCGCTTCGTTCAGTCTCATACATTTCTGCGACCACGCCTCCGACTCAAAGGCCATAAAATCGGTTACTGTAGTTCGCCAGTTGAGCTATTCCTCTCATGTTGTTGGAGGGTGGTCGTGAAAGTTTCAACAAACAAAGGAGACCAATAACCCGAAATAGAAAACTAGGTTCCATGTGTGATATTATCGTGGGGAAACGGGACACCTGAGAAGGCCACGTGTACCGACGGACTTTGCTGAGGTGGACAAGCCTGGGAAAGCGACCACACTAGCCCGAAATGACGGGAACATTCGGAAGCATTGTATATTTGGGCACCCAGCAGAACAAATCAACCTTGCTAGTTCTTGGGAACATCTTGCTTCATAACGGGAACGTCACCTTCCATACCGCGTACAACAACAGCTCATGTGCTCGATGGTTTGCTGTTGACATTTCGAAAAGGGCATTGTGTTGTGCCAGTGATTCGTGATTTGTGTGCATCGCGTTCGTTCCAATCATTTCCGTCCCTGCGATTCACCCGAGTCAAGCATGATCCTTGCAAGCGGTCGCACGCATTCCGTTTTGCAACTCACTCGAGCCAAACCCAAAACAGGCTCCCGCGGGATCAAATATATTGTCGCCGTGATTCACGGGACCAAACGCATATCGCGTTCCTAGCATTTTTTACGATGGCGCAGCGACTACCATGCTTGGCTCGCGCTCATAACTCGCACAATATCTCACCAGTTCATCGCATCGCAAGCTATTCTTTCCATTGTCTTTCACTTCTCACGGAGTACTTCGCACTAAGATTTCCTTGCACTAAACAGTACTTTTTTTCGACCCATAGTGCTTGCTATTGGAAAAGTACCTTACCACTTGGAGCCCGTGACTTGCTCGTGACAGCAAGAGATTCTCTGCTGCGCCACTATTGCGCCTCTTCCGCCGCATCTTCCGCGCCTTTTCCGCCATCTCTTCCGCGCCGCTTTCGCCGCCTCTTCCGCGCCACTTTCCGCACCACTTTCGCCGCCACTTTCGCGCCTCGTTTGCCGCCTCCGCGCAGAATCTGCTGCGGGAACCCCCGCCGTTATCATCATGGCCCAGGATGCGCGCCGGGGGTCGATGCGCGCCACTCCTGCCGGACTCCTGCTGCTCACCCTTTCCCTCATCTGCGGTCAGTCTGCTACTCTCATGTTGCAAAGTCTCTCAGTTGTGTTCAGTTCGTGCCATATTTTGAAGCTCTCGGGTTCATGGCTTTCTTCCCGTTCCCTCCTTTCTGCTTGCGTCTGTTTCCCACCTCCTTATAGCTTTCACTCCTTTAACGACACATTTTGCTCTCTCAATCTGCTCTCTCAATCTGCTCTCTCAATCTGCTCTCTCAATCTGCTCTCTCAATCTGCTCTCTCAATCTGCTCTCTCAATCTGCTCTCTCGATCTGCTCTCTCAATCTGCTCTCTCAATCTGCTCCCTCAATCTGCTCTCTCAATCTGCTCTCTCAATCTGCGCTCTCAATCTGCTCTCTCAATCTGCCCTCTCAATCTGCTCTCTCAATCTGCTCTCTCAATCTGCTCTCTCAATCTGCTCTCTCAATCTGCTCTCTCAATCTGCTCTCTCAATCTGCTCTCTCGATCTGCTCTCTCAATCTGCTCTCTCAATCTGCTCTCTCAATCTGCTCTCTCAATCTGCTCTCTCAATCTGCTCTCTCAATCTGCGCTCTCAATCTGCTCTCTCAATCTGCCCTCTCAATCTGCTCTCTCAATCTGCTCTCTCAATCTGCCCCCTCAATCTGCTCTCTCAATCTGCTCTCTCAATCTGCTCTCTCAATCTGCTCTCTCAATCTGCCCCCTCAATCTGCTCTCTCAATCTGCTCTCTCAAATCTGCTCTCTCAATCTACTCCTTTAATCTGCTCTCTCAATCTGCTCTCTCAATCTGCTCTCTCAATCAATCTGCTCTCTCAATCTGCGCTCTCAATCTGCTCTCTCAATCTGCCCTCTCAGTCTGCTCTCTCAATCTGCTCTCTCAATCTGCCCCCTCAATCTGCTCTCTCAATCTGCTCTCTCAATCTGCTCTCTCAATCTGCTCTCTCAATCTGCCCCCTCAATCTACTCTCTCAATCTGCTCTCTCAATCTGCTCTCTCAATCTGCTCTCTCAATCTGCCCCCTCAATCTGCTCTCTCAATCTGCTCTCTCAATCTGCTCTCTCAATCTGCTCTCTCAATCTGCCCCCTCAATCTGCTCTCTCAATCTGCCCCCTCAATCTGCTCTCTCAATATTTACATCGGCCTCGTTACAGCGGTTCAGCTAACGAAGGCAGCATATGGCGACGACACGGTGGGAAGCTTGACTCAGCGCGAGGCACTGCAGAGCACGCTGGACGCGGCGAATGAAGATGCACAAGACACCGTGACGGTGGTGGGATGGGAACAGCTAGCTGGAAGGTCAATGCGAGGATCGCGCTTGAGACCGCCAACGGCGGCAGCACCACCACCGTTCACCACACTTCTGGCAGCACCACCGCCAGCAGCAGCAGTGGGGTTTCCAAGGTGCCGGTGATCACATCGGTGGTGATGAACATGGCGCGGCAGAGCTTCGCCACGCAGCACTGCATCAGCATTGACCCTTGAGTGAAGCGGAGGAGTCGCGTGGTGGTGTCGTGGAACGTGTATGCGGGCAACATTGACTAAAACGGCGTGGACGACGGTCTCCAGTGCTCGCGGGTCTTGTTCTTCGAGACCAGCGGCTGCCAGGGCGAGGCGGTGGATAGCATCAGTAACCCGGGCCCTTCCGCTATCCTGTGAGTTGTACCCGGGCCCTTCCGCTATCCTGTGAGTTGTACCCGGGCCCTTCCGCTATCCTGTGAGTTGTACCCGGGCCCTTCCGCTATCCTGTGAGTTGTACCCGGGCCCTTCCGCTATCCTGTGAGTTGTACCCGGGCCCTTCCGCTATCCTGTGAGTTGTACCCGGGCCCTTCCGCTATCCTGTGAGTTGTACCCGGGCCCTTCCGCTATCCTGTGAGTTGTACCCGGGCCCTTCCGCTATCCTGTGAGTTGTACCCGGGCCCTTCCGCTATCCTGTGAGTTGGGTAGGCCATGTGAGTGGGGGGGGTGGTGTGTGTCAGCAATGCCATGTGAGTGGGGGGGGTGGTGTGTGTCAGCAATGCCATGTGAGTGGGGGGGGTGGTGTGTGTCAGCAATGCCATGTGAGTGGGGGGTGGAGTGTGTCAGCGATGCCATGTGAGTGGGGGGGGTGGTGTGTGTCAGCGATGCCATGTGAGTGGGGGGGGTGGTGTGTGTCAGCAATGCCATGTGAGTGGGGGGGGTGGTGTGTGTCAGCAATGCCATGTGAGTGGGGGGGGTGGTGTGTGTCAGCAATGCCATGTGAGTGGGGGGTGGAGTGTGTCAGCGATGCCATGTGAGTGGGGGGGGTGGTGTGTGTCAGCGATGCCATGTGAGTGGGGGGGGTGGTGTGTGTCAGCAATGCCATGTGAGTGGGGGGTGGTGTGTGTCAGCGATGCCATGTGAGTGGGGGGGGTGGTGTGTGTCAGCGATGCCATGTGAGTGGGGGGGTGGTGTGTGTCAGCGATGCCATGTGAGTGGGGGGGTGGTGTGTGTCAGCGATGCCATGTGAGTGGGGGGGTGGTGTGTGTCAGCGATGCCATGTGAGTGGGGGGGGGGGGGGGGGTGTGGCTGTGTGTGAGGTACGACGAGAGGACACGATCAGCTGGGAAGGAGAGGGAGGGGAGGAGAGGGGATGGGAGGAGGATGGGACTGGAGGGGGGGGGATTTTATCGTTTGTGAGCACATTGTGATACTGTGTGCTTCCACGTGCCTCGCTGCTCTTCAGGTACCCCAGCACAGAGAAGACGCTTCGCAAGTGGGCGTCAGTGTTGTCTGTCCTCTGCGATGTCACGCAGCAGAAAGGTAAACCACAAGTGGAATCCAGTGGTGCGTTCATTGCCCAACCCCTTCAAAGTTTGTGCCTCATTGTGGACATCCTCTAGAAGTGTGTGCTTCCGAAGGGTGCGATTCTGAGTAATTCCTAAGCGTGTGATTCCGAAGGGCGGGTGTGACGCTGCCACTGCTCTGGTGCCCGAGGCAACGCCCTCTTGCCTCTTGCCTTAATGCACGCACTGCCAACGTCATCCCGAAGCCCTTGTGCAGTCCATACGCATTCCCATATCTTTGTTCAATGCCGTTCCTTTTCGCCTCCGCTGCAGATCGTGCCTGTGCTGCATTGCGCTGTGAGCCTGGTGGCAAATGTGTTGTGGGTCCGAACGGAGATCGTTCCTGCAAGTGGGGTGAGTATGGCGTTCTAACTCTCCCCTTTCAGCTCAACTCATGCATTCGTATATCAACCCCATGCCAACCAGTGGGGTGGGCAATCCAGTGCAGTGAACATGCTGTTTCTGCCAGTGGGGTGAGTGAGCATCACGTTCCCAGCTCTCGCACTTTCAACCCAACTCAGCCATTCTATCAACCCCGCAACCACACAACCAACCCCATTTCTCATGCATTTATTTTCCTTTACGCGCCACACAAGTTTCCACTTCGTGCCGTTTTTTCCGACCACATTTTCCCATCCAATGAGAGTAGCAGTGCATGCTGTTTCTCTTTTTGCTGGCCTACCTCCTTTTCCACTCACTTCTCAGGACTAGCAATCCTGCCAGCATACTGCAATGCACTCAAGCCCGCCCTTTCATGTCCATTTCACCACGTTATTGCTTCTCCCTCTCTCCCCTGCATCTCCCTCTCTCCTCCCTCTCTCCCTTTCTTCTCCCTCTCTCCCTTTCTTCTCCCTCTCTCCCTTTCTTCTCCCTCTCTCCCTTTCTTCTCCCTTCCTCCCTTTCTTCTCCCTCTCTGCCTTGCTTCTCCCTTGGGTGCGACATTCCTCAGCCTCACCCTGTCACGTCTGTCTGACCCTCTGGAGCCCCGAACCACAACTAGCATTGTACTCACATCCCGCACTGCACCCATCCCAAGTCCTCAGCCTCACCCTGTGGCGTCTGCCCCACTGGAGCCACTTGCAAAACCGTGCTGTCATTCGATAGAGAGGTGCGGGTGCCCTACTGTGCTTGCCCTAAAGGCTCTGGAATAACACACGAGACGTGTGTTAAGGGTGAGATATTTTGAAAAGCATGCTCACTCGGCCCATTCTCTCCTCACATACTCCCCACTCTCTCCTCTCTCCCACTATGCGCACTCTTTGCTTCACCTTTCACGCTCTGCCAAGTTGGTCCATGCTGTTTTAAGATGTGGGAATGTGGAATTCCACATATCAGTGTATGGTGGTATGTATGAGTGTGGGAATCATGGTGGTGCAGACAAACATTGCCCGGACTCCTTTCTGTGTCCTTCCCTTCCCAGGTCAAGCTCCCACCGTCTCTTCCACCAGCATCACAATCGTCCTCAATCCAACAGCCAAGGATTTTACTTCTCGGCCCTCAATTATACCTTTCGTGCCGGGATTAATGGCTGCACTCTGTTTCCACCTGTGCTAGTTGGGAAGTTCACGACATTATATGGCGTCCACAACATCGGCGATGCTCCCAAGTGCATCAAGTTTACACACTACCAAACCAATTACTGTAACGAAGACTTCGTATATCGAGAATCCCTGAAAACCACTGCGAGACTTTCTGCATCTTATTCCCTGTGAGTGCTTGATTGTTTTCCACCCGCACAATTGCACACCCTCTCTGAGTTCCCATTTTGCACCAAATGTCACCTCTTGAGTCTTTTTTTATTTTTATTTTATTTTTTTCCTTCCCCTTGTTACCATAAACCAGGGACAAGAATCCAAATGGTGACCACTCAGTGTTGTGCACTCGTTAGGGTGACACGGTTGCCAGCACTGACTATGGTGTTGACAGCACTGACTATGGTGTTGACAGCACTGACTATGGTGTTGACAGCACTGACTATGGTGTTGACAGCACTGACTATGGTGTTGACAGCACTGACTATGGTGTTGACAGCACTGACTATGGTGTTGTCTGCACTGACTATGGTGTTGACAGCACTGACTATGGTGTTGACAGCACTGACTATGGTGTTGACAGCACTGACTATGGTGTTGACAGCACTATGGTGTTGTCTGCACTGACTATGGTGTTGACAGCACTGACTATGGTGTTGACAGCACTGACTATGGTGTTGTCTGCACTGACTATGGTGTTGACAGCACTGACTATGGTGTTGACAGCACTGACTATGGTGTTGACAGCACTGACTATGGTGTTGACAGCACTGACTATGGTGTTGACAGCACTGACTATGGTGTTGACAGCACTGACTATGGTGTTGACTGCACTGACTATGGTGTTGACTGCACTGACTATGGTGTTGACAGCACTGACTATGGTGTTGACAGCACTGACTATGGTGTTGACTGCACTGACTATGGTGTTGACAGCACTGACTATGGTGTTGACAGCACTGACTATGGTGTTGACAGCACTGACTATGGTGTTGTCTGCACTGACTATGGTGTTGACAGCACTGACTATGGTGTTGACAGCACTGACTATGGTGTTGACAGCACTGACTATGGTGTTGACAGCACTGACTATGGTGTTGTCTGCACTGACTATGGTGTTGACAGCACTGACTATGGTGTTGACAGCACTGACTATGGTGTTGACAGCACTGACTATGGTGTTGACAGCACTGACTATGGTGTTGACAGCACTGACTATGGTGTTGACAGCACTGACTATGGTGTTGACAGCACTGACTATGGTGTTGACAGCACTGACTATTGTGTTGACAGCACTGACTATGGTGTTGTCTGCACTGACTATGGTGTTGACAGCACTGACTATGGTGTTGACAGCACTGACTATGGTGTTGACAGCACTGACTATGGTGTTGACAGCACTGACTATGGTGTTGTCTGCACTGACTATGGTGTTGACAGCACTGACTATGGTGTTGTCTGCACTGACTATGGTGTTGACAGCACTGACTATGGTGTTGACAGCACTGACTATGGTGTTGACAGCACTGACTATGGTGTTGACAGCACTGACTATGGTGTTGACAGCACTGACTATGGTGTTGACAGCACTGACTATGGTGTTGACAGCACTGACTATTGTGTTGACAGCACTGACTATGGTGTTGTCTGCACTGACTATGGTGTTGACAGCACTGACTATGGTGTTGACAGCACTGACCTAAGCTGGAATATACGCTTAACACCTTAAGCGTACAGCGTATGTACGCTAGCGTACATACGCTATCCGCTATACGCTAGCAAATACGCTATACGCTCTTAGATTTTTTTAGGGCTGCCCGAAAAAAGAATCGCAAAAAAGATGTGGATTTCCTAGGTGAGCATTTCGCCGTAATCGAAATTCAAGTCCGCAGTCTAGGCAAACGGGGATCTGACGTCCAGACGCAGCGTCTTAGAAGCAGGACGCTAGAGGAGGGCCTTTAGGACGCATGAAAAGACGCATGCCCGGGCAGGGCAAAAAAAACCCCCGGGCAGCCAAAAAATGATGTTATAGGGTATGGGAAGGGGGGGGGGGAACGACGATGCACACATTTGAGGCAAAATCGTCCCCTTTACATTTCTAGGGTTTAGGGTTTACGAAGGAGAATTGTCTTGGTAAACCCTCTAGGGTGTTTTTGATGGTCGAAATGGGTTAGGGGGGGGTCGACATGACGCGAAATTGAGAGTCGCGTCGAAATCGTTGAAGTCAATTTCGCGCTGAGGCAAAAAAAATATTTCCGGTCAGCCCGAAAAAAAAAAAACGGGGTGCATCCTGCGTCTGGACGCGCGTCCTGCGTCAGGACGCAGCAGGACGCGTGCGTCTTTCTCCACATAGATGTTGGATTTCAGATCTCATCTAGGCATTGAAATCCATCCCTTCTACCGCATTGAACCCCACTCTATCTACAAACTCCAACCTGTCAAAATTTCCCAAACAACAAATCTCACGGTACTTACCAGCCAGCCCTGTTGGCTAACCCTAACTCGTCATTTCTTTCCCGCTTTCACCAGAGTTCACGCTTCTTCGCTTTCTTGCTATTATGGTTACTCCACCTCCAATTGCACTCGTCATTCGGATTCAGGATTATGCAAGGGCAAGCCTTAGTGAGAATAGGGAGTACTTTTATTTCACCCTGCCCGGAACGTTTTTTGTCTGCCCGAAAAAGCGTTTCTCCAAACCGAACCCCTAAGCGGATAGCGTGTATACGCTAGCGTATATACGATACGCGAATATACGCTGTACGCGTATATTCCAACTTAGGCACTGACTATGGTGTTGACAGCACTGACTATGGTGTTGACAGCACTGGCTATGGTGTTGACAGCACTGACTATGGTGTTGACTGCACTGACTATGGTGTTGACTACACTGACTATGGTGTTGACAGCACTGACTATGGTGTTGACAGCACTGCCTATGGTGTTGACTGCACTGACTATGGTGTTGACAGCACTGACTATGGTGTTGACAGCACTGACTATGGTGTTGTCTGCGCTGACTATGGTGTTGTCTGCGCATGCTTCCTCCTGGATGACTTCTGCCTCCACTCCATGAGACCCCCTCTCCCCTCTATTCAATAAACCCCCTTCTCTCTAATCAGTGACCCCCTTCTCTTTTCCCCCCAATGGCGACTTCTCAAGAGTGTGATGTGATCTCTTTCCAACCTCTGCAGCAGCCCTGATATATTGTTTCAATATCGGTTCTGAGAAGAGAATGGGGCTTCTTGTAATGGCTTAAGTGTCAAATGTATTAAGTATGTTCTACGCTATAGTGGGGTACTCCCTAGAGAGTACAAGGCTGTCAGGGTTGCGTACTTGTATCATCGAGTAGGTTAGATCCGTGCCTACTGCCCATTCCTACTGGCCGTCACTGCTATTGCCCCACGTTACGACGCTGCCCTTCACACTCCGCCCTGCCCTACCACAAGCGTGCTGCCCCGCACTATGCTGCGCGCGCTTTGCTGCCTATCGCGCTACTGCCTTGTGCGCCGATGCACCCCGCACCCTACGGCCCCGTGCTGCCCTACGCGCGCGCCCCAGCTCTGCCCTTCGCGCGCCCCGAGCTGCCCTTCACGCGCGCCCCTGCCCTTCGCGCGTGCCCCTGCCCTTCGCGCGCACCGTGCGCTGCCCTTTGACCTCACCCCGAGCTGGCCTACGCGAGCGCCCCTGCCCTTCGCACGCACCGCGCACTACTCTTCACTCGCGCCTCGAGCTGCCCTATGAGCGCGCCCCATGCTGCCCTGCACAGCCCCGCGCACGCCACCCTGCGCTGCCGCGCATGCGACCGCCTCGCCGCCGCTGCCCCTGTGCCCCGCACTGCCGCTACTGCCCTGGCATCGCCACTGCTGTCCATGCGCCACTGCTGCTGGCGCACCGCCGCCGCTACCATCACTGCGCTGCTGCTCCTGTCCTTGCGCCACTACATCCTACCACCGCCCATGTGCGATGTCTGCGCTGCCGTCGACGCACCACCCACTGGCCGGCCGGCTGCCACTAAACCGCGCCGCCTGCCATGGCGATCGTCAATGTACTAGCGTTTGACGCAGATGGGCGCCCTATAGAGTTCGAGTCCTGGCTAGAGGACCTGCACCTGTACATGCGGAGCGTCAGTAGGGATGAAATCTTACTGTTCAAGCATGCGTCATGGTTCCTTACAGACTCACTAGACCCTTTCTTGACGAGCCGTGTGAGCCTAGTAGTCCCTATGCATATCTTGTGAGCTGCCTCTTATACCTGATGACTTGTACTCGCCCGGACCTCGCCTTCCCTCTCAGCATCCTTGCTCGCTTTGTTGCGCCAGGGACACACCGTCCAGTTCACTAGACAGCTGCTGTGAGGATGGCGAAGACCCTAGCGACGACATCATGCGTGGGGCTGGTTCTTGGATAGAGACAGTCTATCGTAATTTCTGGACACTGTGACTCTTCTTACACTGACGACGACGAGTCTCACAAGTCTGCTCAGGGGTGTTGCTTCAGCCTGGGCTTTGGAGCTGTTTCGTGGAGGTCCACGCGTTCCTCCTCGGTCCTGACCTCTACTGCTTAAGTTGAGATATACGCGGGAGCCATGGTTGCACAGGCTCACCGACCTTGGTAAGCGGTCGAGCTCTCACCGACCTTGTTCACTGACAATAAGGCGTCGATTCTCATCTGTCGAGAGCCGCAACTGGAGAGCAGAGTAAAGCACATCAACGTCAGGTACTTTCTTCTGCGAAAGTTGCAGAGGCGTGGACAGGATCGCTTCGACTTTGTGGAGTCCGAGGCATACACTGCAGACATCTTCACCAAGGCCCTTTCGCATTGTGACCACCAGAGGTGTTGTGTGCAGTTAGGCCTCGTTGACACTGGTTCTCGCCTTGCGTAGTCTTGAGTTCTCTCCTTGCTTTGTTTGTACGCTTTATATATATCTCTGTGAACTCTTGAACTGACCTTGTGGCTTTTTTGCTTGTGCTCAAAGTGTGTGGCGACATTGTGATCCACCCTGAGCTTTGTTGCTTTATGACTGGTCTTGTGACCGTACGTTGTTGGTTTACTTGACACCCCTCACTTAGGATATGAGGGTGTGTCAGATGTTATAGTCTTAGTGATGTGTGTCATATAGGGTACAACGGTTAGGGTTAGGTTTATGTACCCCAACAAACCTTAGTCAAACCATCATTCTGTTCTTGACACACACCTGCATTGACCTGGGTGAGATGCGCAGCTATCTTGATTTGCAGCTCACCCTGGATAGAGAAGAGCGCACCTTTACTCTAACTCAGTCACACATGGTGCAGCAGGTCCTTCAGCACTTTCGCTTTCAGTTCTCCTTTCCAAAGCCCACTCCTCAGCTCAACCGTCAGACAAGTCTGTAAAGCAGAGTGGTCTATATCCAGAGCTTGTAGGCTGCCTCATGTACCTGATGACGTGCACTTGACCTGACCTCGCATACCCTCTCAGCATTCTAGAGCACTACGTTGCACCCGGGAGACACCCCCGGGAGCACTACCGGGCTGCGCATAGGGCACTGCATTACTTGTGTAGTACATCAGGCATGGGACTTGTGCTTAGAGAATGAGGTCGAGTTGTGCTCACTGGACACTAAGACGCTTCTTGGGCCGATGACCAGGAGACAGCAGTCGTCCTAGGGTTACACTTTCCGTCTCGTCGCTGAATCTGTCTTGTGGAGGTACACCCGCTCGTCTTCTGTACTTAGTTCCAACTGTGAGGTCGATATGCTGGTGTTATGGCTGCACCGGAGTTACGCTCTCTGAATTACATGCTGTATGACTTGGTTTAGTGGCCTCGTTCTCCTCCAGTTCTGTATTTCGACAACAACGCCATGATTGTCTTAAGTCGGGAGTAGAGACTTGAGCACGGATTGAAGCACATTGCTCTTCGTTACTTTCTCGCGCAACAGTTACAGTAGCGTGATCAGCTTCGCCTTGTTTACGTAGCCTCACAGGCCAACACTGCTGATATCTTGACCAAGGCTCTCGGGTTTGGTGATCATCAGCAATTCTGCACAGCTCTGGCTTGTGCCCACACTTCCTCGCTTGCTTGTCTCTTGACCTTGTCTTGTACTTCAATCTATATATACCTGAATGTTTACTCTTGCTAGGTTGTGATCACTGTACTGCTTGTGCTCTTATGACACTGCATGTGTTCTAGCCTTGTAGCCACTTGCTTCTGCTCAGACTGTGTGGTGAACTTGAGATCCACCCCAAGCTTGCTTTGTTGCTTCTTATGACTGGCATTGTGACCATTGTTGTCCCCCAGTTAACCTTTGCGAGTACGACAAATGTGTCAAATATCTTCTAGGCTATAATGGGGTACTCACTAGAGAAACCCTTGCTATTTCATCACTCCGTTGCCTGTATCTCTCAACATTAAGTACAATACAGAGTTCTAGAAGTGATAGCAAAGGGTGATAAAGGAAGAGAGTGAGAGTAGTGAAAGAGGAATGGTGAGCAATAGAAGAGCAAGGCTCTCCCTAAGTTTTTAACTCGCCTGATGCATCAAATGAAAGGCCCGCCTTCACATGCCTCGCCAAGGATCAGTTCATGCAAACCCGCTTTGTCCAACGCTGGGGCGAGCGCCACTTCTCACCGGGGTGGTGATGCTTCGTGAAGCTTGTCGACTACTTTTGCATAATGCAGATAGAGATCGGAAGACCTTTCCCACAATGTGAAAGGAACTTGCAGTAGACCACCCTCTCCATCATCGGCCACTTGGGCTTTCGCCCTGCACCACCGAGATGTCAACGACACCCAGCCGTAACACCGAGGCGCTCTTTCAAGTTGCACTTGTCGCGACCTTCGGCTGGACTAGTGAGCCTCGCCAACTTCCGGACGCTCAAATCGGGTTGCACGTCTAGCATCGCCAATCACTACAGCTTTTCCTTAACGGTATAGGCGCACCATGCCTTTTTTGTCATTCTGTATCGAGGCAATGGGGTGTCTGTATCCGGTACCCGCTCATTCTGCATATGAGTCTGCTTGCTTGCAGAAATACTAAAACCTTGACCTTCAATAACGGACGGGGTGGGCTACCGCTGCGCTCTCATTCTGTTGCTTGAAGATGCTATATGCATTGGCATGTCGAGCCTATGCGACGGCCTAACAACAAGAGGATTGCGTACGACATGGCGGCATCGGCATCAGCGAGCCGACGTCCAAGCATATGGCGACGTTACTATGGCGGAACCGTAGTCTCCAAACAGGAGAATTCTCTAACACTCACTGGGTTTTTAATTGCATCCTACCGGTAATGCCCCATCTGAGAGCCTGCTGAGCACAGAAAGGCATCGTGCCTTAAAGAAGGGTTTGGAGGAGCATGAGATAAAATGCAACTCCGATAGCAGGACGTGCCAAGGTTTCAAGCATGCATGAGGTGTGATTGACGAGGTGGCAAGGCATCAATGCGCTGGGCCCTACAAGATTTTGATTTAGCACATATTGTGACAAATGGGAGAAGGCAACCAGCAACGATCGTGTAGTTCATTATGTTTTTTTTTTTTTTTTTTTTTTTTTTTTTTTTTTTTTTTTGCAGCTAAAAAACCGGGTCTTACTAGACACGTTATATTCACATGTCTCACTTCCAAAACACAAGTAATATGTCTTTATGATAAGAACCGGGTCTTATAAAATATCTGCCAACTGTTAAGACCCCCCCCCCCCCCCCCCACCCCTCCTCCCCCCCCCCCTACCCTCCCCTCTTTATAATATATATGTGTAGGATTCTTACAAGACCCTCCGGGGTATTACAGTAGAGGGTTGTTTTGTTTTTTCTTCTTGTCTGACACGCCCCCCTCCTCTCCCCCCTCCCCCCCCACCCCCTCCTTCTTTCCCTCCCCGTCCTCCTCCCCCTCCGTCCCCCATCCTCCACTTCTCCTCCCCCCACTTTCCCCAATCCCTCGTTCTCTACCAGCCCAACCCCGTCCTCAAGTCACTCGCTTCTCTTCTGGTCTAGTCCAGTCCTGTTGACTGCTAATGGGTCTAGAAGCTGTTAAGCACAACTTTAATTTACACTTAGTACCAAGGGTTCGTGGTTGGTGCTTATCTAACTTTGAAGCGTCTTAAATCTAACTGTGACTTTTCCTCG